TTATATATATATATTTTATATATATTTTATAAATTTAAACAGTGAAAAAAACAGAAAGCTTCCAGAATTAAAACAGAGAGCTTTTTTCTTTTATCTCAAAATCAAAATTTCTACTCTGATAGTTTTTCCTAAAAACTCCACCACCCTCTCAATATTTTTCCTCCTTCTTGCCTCACTAATAGATCAGCTGTCTTTAAGCAGAGTTATTTTGATGAAGGAGCACAGCTACTTGTATTTCCAAAACCATTTTAAAGAAAGCAGATAATAGCAACACCTTTGTTGCTAAAAAGAATCATTGCTACTCTAAACACAACCTCTTCGTGCACACTCTGAGTCTGAAACCTCAAACCATATCATCACTGACCACGTGAGTTTGCAGTAATGTTACGAACTTTCCTTTTATGAAAGGAATTCCAAGCCTGAAATGTTGAGTGTATAACACTTTTGAAGGAGTAAATTACTGATTTTGATTCTCCTATGAAAAAGGCAATATCATTTCACAGTACAAGCATCATTTACAGCAGAGAGACAAAGGTACATTAAACTGCTGTTTTAACTTGAATTGACAATAGTTTCACTACCTTTTCCTGCAAGATTCAAAAAATGCATAACACTGAAGTGATGTCTGAGCAAGCCTAAGCTTCTCAGAGACAATATCTAATTTAAATATTATTCAGTATCTTCAAAATTAGTTAGTTTCTACTATCTGAATAAACAGATTAGGTAGTATTTTCTTTTTTTTTTTTCTGAAAATGAAAGATGTGCAATCAAAAATAGCAATAGAATGAACACTGCTAACATTAAATCATTAAGTCACACTTTGTTTATAAACAGGCTTAGTGGCTTTCAACGTACAAAATCTACTTAAAATTGAAGGTTATCATTAACTGAGTATAACTTCCCTGCTAGTATCATCTCTCTTCCCATATTCATACAGAAGAATACCAAAGCTGCCTTTTTCCTCTTAGATTTCCAAGTTTTAAAGTCTGAAACTAAGCAGAAATGGTAATTGACTATTCTAGGAAGGAATGGCTATATAATGATGCTTCCTGGCATTTAATTGATGAGAACTTCAATCCTGCTGTAGTGATGTTTAATTTTGCAATATCTAGAGCAAGAGCTCTGTAAGAGACTACACATACAGAATTCTGTCATTACTAGTAGCTTGAGAATTTGCTTGGTGAAAAGCCAGATAACCACCAGCATCATCACTTGTACATAATATGCCTTCTAGTATTTCAAACAGGTTAGTCTGTGATACATGTTGCTAATTTAAATCAGTCATGTTCACATACATATTTGTTTCTCATCATTACGTACTACATTGTGGAAGCAGAGAAAAAATTCTCAAGTTTGCTGTGAAAATGATAACACTTCCTAAAAGAAATATAATTTAGAATATATACAGAAAGAGACAGAATGTAAATAATTACACAGAATATTTTGGCTGAATTTGCTCACTGAAGTCTTTTTTCTCTATAAGTGTTTGTTTTTACTTACAAAAGTAAGGTCAGCTAATAGTGGGTTAATAGTCGGAATAAATATTTCTGAAGAGCTTGATAAAGGACTTGCAAATTGGACAGGGGCTTAGGAAGATTGAACCAAAGGTTTCTATTTGCCTGCGTGACTACAAAAACAGTGTCTCTAAAGCCAAATGAAATCATTCTCTCTGTAAGAGAGAAAAAGTATTTCTTATATTGGAAGAAAAAAAATCAGCAGTTTGGTTATCTCCTATGACTGAAGACTGAAGGTACTTTCATGCTTAAGTTCTCATGATAGCAAATGTAACATTAAGATAGAAATATTCCATAGAGATAAGCTTAATGACTGGCACCACTCAAAATATATTGTTTGCCTTAGCTGAAGTGACATAGAAGCTTTGCAAAGCTATGCTACATTTTTTTTCTTACTTGTTTAATTACCTGTAATATCTAAATGTTACTCTTACACTCCCAGTCAACTGTAGGAGAACCAGTCAGACCTCTAGGCATATAAAAGAAGGGATACATATGGGAAAGGAACCACGAGAAGACACTGGCAATGTGTCCACAGTTTTATACTTTCTCCTTTAAAAAATAGCTTCTGTCTGAAAAATAGCTGCTAGAGCAAATATTCTTCTGTCTCTTCCTAGTTTGCATTTGAGACACGGCCTGACTGAAGAGCAAAGTCATGAACCTTGACGAAACAGCTCAAGAAAACTCCAGAGCAAGACAGACAAGTCTATTCTGAGTAAGAAAGCATGAACATCTCAAAGAAAGTCTGGATTCATCTACTGAATGAAGCCAAGTACTTCCAATTGTAAATACAAACAGCAGCTGTTTTCCTAACCTCTACTTCCTTCAAGCATACACCTTGGTTTACGTATAAACAATGTGACAGTTGCTTACTATTTTACAATAAAGCCTGCATTGTTCCCTGGGAAAGGATATAGTGCTTGTTACATAAGTTTATGAAAATGAGAAATATCATGTTTAGTACTTTACTTCAGCTGAATTAGGTGTCTCATGACTATTACTTGAAGAGCAACTAATGAGAGGTGCAACATTAAGTTGCACAGAAATAAAGCAGTTTACATTACTTACAAGCATAGCAAAAGCGTCCTCCACCTTTGACTGCTCTTCCTACCACTCAACGCTTTACATTAATATGGTACCTAATTCACTTTGAAGAATATGAACTTGATTTTGTCTGTCTTGTTGCCAAAGAAATTCAGCAACTTAAGTACATACTGCAGTTACAACTAAGTTAGTGCTTCATGGATTAATTCAGTGATCTATTCTAACTACACTTGGAAGAGAGAATCAGCTTTCTGTGACATCAACAGAAGCCAAAGAAAAATGATGATCAATATTTCAATTTAATAGAAATATTATGGGCCTTTCAACATTGGGCAATTTAAGAGCCCTTCATAAAGACTTTTAATATTGAGATGAAGTTATTAGATCACCTCTCCTAAGTTGGCAGGACATACCCCTAGGTCAGAAAACCTAGAGAGGGAAGCCGGAAAAACTGACAGACTCAAAAAAAAAGGGACTCATTTCATGGAAGAAAACTGGGAAATGATATGAAAAAAGAACAGGAAAAAAAAACCACACAGTTTTCTTCCTCCAGAACACAAAAGACAATAATGTGAACATTCAAGGAAACAATTTCATTAAAACATCCCATATTTCATTTTTACAATGAAGTAGCATTTTTGTTTTTATTAATTCATCAAACCTAAAAATAGAAGGTGCAGAAAATGAATAATGAAAGGTCGCTTAATGTTTTTTCTTCTTTCTTTCTCTTTACCCATTACATCCTCCCAGAGTTCCTACCAGCTTAGGTAGATTTATTTCTCTTATTATTAAGATTTATTTCTTAGATTTATTTCTCTTGTGGGTAAAACTTGTTTATTAACAACTGACCTGATATGATTAATATTAAAGCAGCTGCTCATGAAGTTTTCCAGAACACAATCTTGATGTTTTATTTGGAAACACACTAAAAAGCCAATACACTGTCCAGACATGGATACCCTCTTGCACCTAATAAACGCAAACACAAAACACAACTCACACTTCTATTTCAATACCACTACAGTCGTAACAGTTCTCTTCTCCAGGAAAATAACAAGGTCTTTCAGACTATGCCTTCTAATTATTTTTGCTTTATTTTTGCAGATACTATTCAAAGAGATTATTCGTAAATCAGCTCCCTCTTATCACCACCCCTGAATCTACTTTTATACAATTGTATCAGATAAGGCTAACCATTTTTGTTACATATGACTGATCAAAAGCAAAGATATTGGCCTAACATAGACCCACAAAATATTGGTTTGCTTATCCTATGAGCTTACTGAGGAAGTGAAGCAAATGACACTCAAGAGCAGGACTGCAACCAAGAGGGACCCAGACAGACTGGAGGAACAGATTAACAGAATTCTCAAGAAACACCATCAGGATAAATTCCGAGACCTGCAGCCCCTGTAAAGCAAGCTTGGGCACTGGTGACACATACCTGAGCAGGAGGCAACTGTGCACCTATGTAGCAATGCCTGGAGTAGTTGGACCAGGACACAGCTCCAGAATCAGTGAGGGCAAGGGCTGGGGGCTTTGCCGTGTGAGACAAAGCTGTGGAGCAAGATTGGTTCAGCCATAAGAAGGGGTGGCTTCAAGGATACCCAGCAGCAGCCCCAGCACCAGGGAATGTAGGAGAGGCAGACAGACTCTACATATAGTGTGAGGTGGGAAGGTGAGAGGCAGAAACACAAGCTGAGACACAAGAGGCTCAAGCTGGAGATGAGAAGCCTTTTGACCAACAGGAATCATAGGATTGCCTGGCCATGAAGCCAAGGCTCCAGCCTGGAGGGTTTTATGCCCCAGCTGGCTGAAGAAGCCCTGAGCAGCCCTGCTTAAACCCCAGCAGAGTGAGGACTGTTGATGTAGCCAGAATGAGTGATTCTGCTATTGCATGAAACTAGGAGTGATTTCCACCAACAGGCAAAACATTCCTGACATATTCCTGAAGTTCTAACCCTCTACACCTTACAAAACGGCTAACTTCAGGATTTTCTGTACCCATTAACTCCACAAATATGTGAAGAAGACTTAGTACATTTTCTGGTTCAGAGTATTCATACATTATATAAATTCCACTGTGTTTATTCATAATTACTTTCTAACTTGCTTTACTACTACTGAATTCATTTTGCATTATGTAGAATCTACCTTTAAAAGAGAGACATTTTATATTCTTTTTGCATAGCTTTAATCACAACAGCTCTGCTATACTTCATCTCTGGAGTGGCAAGCAAGCAACGCTTCACGTATAAAGCTTAAGTTTTGCTTTCATAGAAATAAACACGAATATTTCATTGTTAAGAGGGATCTACTACATTAATCACAATAACACTTCACTTAGTTTCACTGCCTGGTCGACCTTTATTACAGTAATCATGCACCAGCAATGAGCAGCAACATCTTTGTGATTGTGTTTGACGTGGGTGCAGGACTCACCCCTCCTGCCTTTAGTAGCTTTCTTCTGAATTCTTCTGTCGGGTTGTTGAATGTGAGCTTTTCACAGCGGAGGTGATTTACAGGTGGGTGGCCTTCAAGATGCAGGAATAAGTCATAGTCAAATCGAACTTTCTTAGGTTCTTCCTGAGGGTTGAAAATAACCAGATAAAAAGGTCTGATGCCAAAACTAAAACAAGGGCTACATCAGTCTGTATATTAAAATTACATCATTTTTAACCATCCTCTGTGTTCTGAGATACATGATAGAATTTACCAAACGTCAGCTGGGCTACAGTAAATTAAAGAAGGTTCTATCAGCCCATCATAATACATGGGAAAATGCATGGACATCAAACTGTCTTGACAAGGCTTCTTTGAAGGTGATGCCTAGCATAGGCTAAAGACATACACAAAGCCAAATATCATAACTCAGCTGACACAAGGTAACTCAGCCACCAACACAATCATTTCTGAGCTGTAGGTAATACAGAGCTGCAGTAAATCCTAGGATACAACTTCCTCTACAAATTCAAAAAATTTGTAAATAAGGGTAAAATTGAAACTGCTGCAGCAAATTATATTTGACTCCTAAGTATGGTGTCTGTTTATTTATTAATGGAACTTCATTTCCTTGAACCAAATGGGCAGCAAGATTTCAAGTATTCCACCACAGCTTCCAAGCATTTGAAATTCTTTGCCACTATAATGTTAAAAAAGACAAATGTTCCCCGTACCAATGTGGAGAGAAAAAGAACAGGAAAGGCAAATTTGTCTTGGACATAATCAGTGCTCTGCTATTCTAAGAAATCCTCAGCTGGAAAAGGACACTACTGTAACCATATAAATTTCAATTGCTAATACCAAAGAAAAGACATTAAGTATGTTTTGTGCAACACATTTACACAAATGTGTTCTAGACACTGTATAAAACTTAAGTGCTCTTCTAGAGCAATAGCAAGTAGCCCTTTCTTCAAAGGTGCAGATGTGCCAAAGGCACCAAACCAATGACAATCTTAAAGCAGAACATAAGTAAAAGGACAAATTCTCTACTCTAGCAAAAAATAAATAAAATAAAGAACCACAAGGGAGGAGGAGGAAGAGATGCAGCAAAATTTCAGTATATAAACAACAGTGCATCTATTTGTATTCTGTTCAGTGACAGACGTCCCCAGACATCCTCAATAAATAAATAAATAAATAAATAAATAAATAAACAAACAAACAACCCAGCTATCATATTAAAATGTTCAGCTTCGATTCAGGACATTAAGGATATGAAAAATAGGAAGTATAGAAGTCTCAGATTTTCAAATACAGCCAAGAGATATCCTCAGCATCTTGTCTTCAAACATGGAACAAAGACAACAAGGGGGCTGAGACAAAAAGCTTGCAATAGCTTATTTTTTGATGGCTGAGACTATTTTCTTGATGGACAGTTTTCAAAGGATGGATGAAGATATTTCTTATTAAAGATGAACGCATCATTTCTTGCAGAAAAAAAAAGGAAGACTGCACCACAGAAAACTGTGACACTGCTATAGGCAATCAGTATTGGCAGCTTTGTCATAGAAGTTCAAAAATCATAAACTGGAGTCTTCAAAGAAATCTGTGGAAAGTTTGTTGAAGTAATAATTTCAAAGCAGACTTTCACTAAATATATTATTCCCTGTACTACTGGGAAATAAAACAGTGATGTCCTGACAGTGAAAGCAGAATATACTGCAGTTTATGAGCCTTATCCTAAATTGACTGTAATTTCCAGAGTAGAAGTCTTTCAATCTACAGCCTTCTTCCAAGGAATTTGTCTCAGTGGCTAACAAGGGTTGTTATATTTGTGGAATGGGATGCTTGTTATCTCCATAATCTTTAAATATGTGGAACATTTTTTTATCAAGTTAAAATGCCTATTAGATTTCCTACCAATTTCTACTTTGTCCTGGGAAGGAGAACAGTTTCATTCCCCATGATCCAAGTGGCATCCTGTACCACTGCATTCTCTCTTCATTAGGGTTCTTTCTGAACCAGAAACGTAAAGGTTATCTACCTTGAATAAGTGATGATGGTCTGTCTCCTCTTCCTCCTTCTAGCTCCTCTTTTTCTGTACGGGAATACCTGTGAAGTGGCTTAGAGGAGGAAGAGTAACTGAACCAGGAGAAAGCAGTAATTTGCCTCAGGAATGCCAGTTCAACTTTTGTGCCACTCCTCCATCATATTGCACTGAGCCCAGGAAAGGGTATGATGCTGCAGCTGTGTGAAGAGCTACCTGACTCACAGTCCAACTGCTGCTTGTTGTATTCTGTAACACCAAAATAGGGGTGGGGGATATTTGCAAACTTCCTAATTCCACATGCTGCTTGAGGGTGAGGTGAGTTGTAACCATTGATGCCCTCTTGCTTTCAGTCTAAGCCACAACTCCTGCTGGAGAACTCCTGAGACTTGCAGTCAAAGGCAGCCAAAACTGAGTGGAAAACAGAAAAAGAAATGTCGGGGGGAAGCCTTCTGTAGAGATGCTTAAATGAATCACTGTCTTCTGACTTTGTTATGGGTCTGCCTGGTTATGGGATGACCTCTTAACAGATGAGTTAAAAAGCATGCCAAAGAAGCCAGCCAACTCAATGAAGCAGTTCTGTTTCCCTTTTCAACAGCAAATGTGGTAGACTGAGCCCTTCTTTTCACAGATTGATACAGGGAACATTTCAGAAATAACTTCCAAATCTATTATTTAGAAAGTGCCTCAGCAGAATTATCTACACCTCACATCTTAACAGAGTTTCTATGAAAGACAGAAGAATAATGGAACATCTGAAGGCAGAGTTAACCAAGTTGTACTCTAAACTGAATTTTAAGTGTGTGTATTTTCAGCAGAAGACTTGTTACCCATTTTCATTTGTTTCTGCGCTTTTCACAAAACAAATTGGCATTTTAAGGAAGGTGAAATACTGACTTCATTAAAACAATGTTATATGACATCTTGGAATTATAAAAATACCTATGCAAGTAACTTTGAAGCATGCATGAAGTAAAATAACAAGTCCATTTTTCAAAGCACAGAAAGAATCCAAAATATTGAAATTATTAAAATTCTGTGCATTAATTATTAGAGCTTCTTTAATTCTACCCAAGTCCAGTCCTTCTTATCCAAACAAGTTATTTATTTGCAATACAGAATCTACTAGGTACATTAAAAGAAATCTCTGTATTTGCTATCTGGGAGACTGCAAAGTAAATGCAGTATTTATTTTCACACTAAATTTGAGATATCAAAATAATGCATATGTTTTAGAATAGCACTAGATTCTAAATTATGCCCCCACTAATGCTGAATGGAACCAATGTCCACGTTCACTCTAAAAGAATTTATTTTTTTTTCAGACTGAGGTGGCAGTATGAAAAAGGCTCTTCATGAAAGATGAAAAATGAACAAATTATAAAGATCAGCAATATTTAAAATAAAACAACAGGTTCATTATGAATTCAATATGATCAAGATCAGCTTCCTCTCTCCAAGTTTTTTAGGTGGTTCTCGAGCTTCCTGGCTTTAAAGCTTGTCTGCTTTTCAGTAGAAGTAGTTATTCTTCTAATTACTGAATAATTCAGCTTCTGTACTTTATCAGGTAATCTTAAGTTCAGAGAGTTATCTACAAAATACAGTTAGACATGTATAAAAGTTACAGTGACCGTGAATTATGGAACAGCTCTTTGAAATATATCTTTAAACCTACATTCAGTATTTATGAATCTAAATATGTATATTTGAAGATGTGTATACGTTGAGTTTTACTTCTCTCCTTTGTTGTTTTGTTGTTGCTAGGTTTAAGCTTTTAAATGAACAAATAAGCAATTCTGTACCTTATTTTTGAAGTAGACCTCAATTGGCAAAATGAAGCCAGCATAACCAGATTCTTCAACTTTGTAGGGTGGATCCTTGCACACTGAAACAGAGAAAAAGCCAGTATTTAAGAGAAAAGGTTTAAAAACAGAATGTGAACAAATAATCTGCAGCAACACTTCCATGAAAGCACCATTACAAAATTACTCACACACACAGTAGGACATATCTTTCCATATATCAACATGAACTTTGTAAGCAAATTGCTCCTCCAATACACAACCTACAGTTTGGAGAGAGCAATGTGTGTATATGTACATATGTACACACACATGTATATTTTTCTGTTTCTTCAGTCTCTTGGAACACAAGAACCAAGGGATATCATCACCTGGTGAACCTGCTATCACAAGGCCTCTCAGAAAAAAAAAATCCAGGAATAAAACTGCCAACACATTCTCCAGAGTACTATCAGTAGTACATCAACCTTCTGAGGAAATGCAAACTTAGTAAATCACAAAGTAAATTAACATAAGTTTTTCCTGCTACCCCACCATTCCCCTCCTGTTTTGCTGGCACTAACCCCACACAGGGAATTCAAGAACAAGGGAGACTCCAAGTCCTTGCTAACCTGCTGCAGCTGTCTAAGGCTACTGAGTTTTCTCCACGCAATCAATGGAAAGGGAAAAGCATTAAAAAAAAGCAAAGGAAGAATAATCTTCTCCTGACTTGTTTTCAACACAGTTATCTTAGAAACAAACAAACAAAAAAAAAAAACCCAGAACTTATTTTGTCTCTCTTGGAAGGAAGAGAGAACCTGTGATTTATAAGGTGAGATTTGAAAAGATTTTGAAGAAAATATTAAGATAATAGGTCAAAACTGAGAGGTGAATTCAGACAGAAAAGGCTTTTAAGTTATAAATTAAGCATTTTATCTTAAAATCTCAAAGAAATATTACTTCATACTGATGTCTTTCCTTATAAGAGCTTACCAGCATTTGAAAATGTAAACATAGCAGCCCTACCTAAGCATAGTTAGAGATTATGGTAATATATACTGACAGCATTTCAGCTAGGGCAGTAGCCCTCCTGCTTCTTCAGATTCAGAAGATGACTTGAAGAAAAAGCCTCTGTGACATTGTGTGATTGCCCATGCAGATATACATATAGGACACTGAAAGCTACTCACAAAATATGAAAGTGATTAAACATCAGATATTTATAAGCTGTAATAATACATTATCTGGTTCAGAGATTTCAGACTCCATTTCATGGCATACCAGAAATCACCTCCCACTTTATTTAAGAAATAAAAAAAAGGTCACAGCAATGTCTTCCTAAGAATTTTATTGGTGCAGAACACACTGTCAGCATAAATACTTTTTTTATTCTCTCCCTCAAATCTCTCTTCTTTCATACTCACACAACTGTTAGCAAATCAGTTTCACATTACGGTTCTGAAAACAAAGTCTGTACTTGCAGACATTGTTGAAACTTGGGTGATGGGTTACAAAATGCTCAGCACTTGCAAATGATTCTGAGTGTCTTCCTAAACTGAAAGACAGGCAAAAAATTTTAGTCTTGTGCTTGAAAATTTCCATCCCTCTCCCTCCCCACCGCCCGAAAAAAAAAAAAGCCAACAATGAAGAACAGGTAACGGTAAAACTGTGTTACAATTGCATGTACAATTACAACAACTAAAGTGAAAGCTAGTACATTATTCTCACCTTTCCTGTAGACACTTAATATACATACTAGCAAAAGCAACACGTCTGTGCAGTCTGAATCAGGACCCACTGGCATAAACTCTTTCTTGTTTTAAAACTATTACAGTTGGCAATCAGGGCTCCTGCAACACTTGTAAGTTAGCCAGCAGCTAACAACCACCCAGTTCGGTGGGCAGAAAAGAGAGAGGTGGTTCACCTAACAGGAGATACTGAGCAAAAAGTAACAGAAAAGTAAAAATACTGCAGTGGGGAAAAAAAAAGAAAAACTTGATACATCTTGGATGTCAGGTGAAGCATCCTGTGAATAGAAAAAGGAAAATATCACTCCCATTTTTATGAAGGGCAGAAATGAAGACCTGAGGAACTACAGGCTGGTGAACCTTGTGTCCGTGCCTGGGAACACTGGGGAGCAGATCCTACTGGAAGCTATGGTAAGACACATACAAGATGAGGAGGTGGTCTGAGACAGCCAAAGGCTGATCATATAAATCCTTCCTCTCTTCTATCTGGTTTGAATAGGTGATCCAACTTCAGTACTGTCTCAGTAATAACTAAGGCCCTACCGATTACTACAGATCCTGTGAAAAATTAGTTCCTGCACTGAGAAAGCAGTTTCAGAGAATATCATCACTGCAACACAATGAGAAGCAGCCACAGGTATACAGTCTCATCTCAGGAGAACAATAAGGGCCGGGAGGAGTGAAGAGAAAAATAAGACAGGCAAATTTCAGTGAGTTCACTGCTCACAGAAAAGCACATTTCATCTCTTGTGTAGAACAATACAGAATTCATGATACCATGTCAGAATGCAAGATCTTTTCCATAAGTGAAAGCTTTGATCTTAGGTATTTGCAAATGCATTTGCTAAACATAGATAGACCAGATTACCTGAAGCAATTTTTCATGCAATTTCAAAATAAATGCTGGGGAAGCATATGTATATGTGCATAGATGTACCACTGCTCAAGTACTGATTTACAGTAATATGTAAATCTCAGGTGTTCACCTACACTATATAGTCATTTAATTTCCCCTGATAGGGGATTATTTATACACTCAGCTGCAGTTCTAGCTGTATTAAAAACAAACACTTCAAAAACCTGTAGGAACAGTGAGAAATACATTGCCTACGCTCTTTAAACAAAATATGCCTTTCAGAAACAATGTACAAAATATCAGTGTGCATTTTATAAACATATACTGCAGTATATTTACAATAAAAATTGCAGTAACAACATCAGCATTTATTAACAAGGATTTCTTCGCTGTATGATCTCAGTACCTGTTTTGCCACTATTCCCTATTACACTCATTATTCACAAATAGATGTGTGCGTATAGCTCTCCTTCAATGCACTTTACAACTAAATTCTTCTGGTAATGTCAGCATAATGAGATATACAAAATTACAGCAAGCCAGGGCAGGAGTTTGTAAGTTCTAAATTATGTTTATCTCCTACTTGTCAGGGCAACTTGTCTACAGCTGACATATAAATGGACTAAAACATTTATTTCAAATAGTTTGCTTCTTTATTGCACAGGCGAAGCATTATGTTTAAGCACACACTCCCATGTACTGTGTCAGACATAACTGACACCTGAAGAACAGTTGTAAATACATCTTCATGTTTTGGTTTAAGTAATAGTAACAATTCTGAGGCCCATAGAGATTACAATAACAAAATTGTGGTAATAACCCTTAGTTTTAAAGCTTTAAGAAGAGATTTGTTTGCCACTCCAACAGTCAAACACTTTGTGTTTATTCCTTGATGAAAAATATGGTCAGAAACAGTAAATAAGGACAGAAATTCGTTTCTAGCAGGCCCATGCAGAATTATAGCTGTTACAATTCACATCCACTTTGTGCACCCTACAGGACAGATGTAGTGGGTCTTGTGGGTATTTTAGATTCCTGCCTATAATTTGTTCACATTGGTCACTGTCTCATCAACTTTTCCTGCTAATTATCGTCTTCACTGAAAGAAGTGTCACAAATGAACAGCATTAATTTTCAGATGAAAGCAGGCTGCAGTACCAAACTTCTCCTGACATAAGAAGCCAGCTTTAAGTACTTGGCTGTGATTTTTATGAAAAATCTTTTACCTCAGTACAACAGCTGGTGAGCTCCAGTGCTCTGACTCTATACAAAATGAGACAAGAAGGATGGCATGTGTTGTACCCTAGCTTCAGGCATACCCCAGCCATTAATACTAACAAATTGCCAGACAGGTTCAAACAACAGCTAGCTAAAATTACTACGTTGAATGTGGTTTAAGTGGTAGCTCATGCCAGGAATAGGATGTTCAAATCAGCTTAATAACTTACGCTGACAAGTCTTTCATGAAACACATAGAACACTGAAGCAAAATTACAGAAAGAGATCTAAGAGAGAATTAAGATTGAAATTTCAGCATTGCATTTACAATCATATTAAGTTTCCTATCCCACATACTGAATTGCCTACTTCCTACAATTTCACAAAAAAGTGAATCCTAACGAGGTTAGAGAGTAACGCTTCCTGTATAAAGTATCTACGTGTCAACCACTGGATACCATGGCTGACCTGCAGACACTGGGGAAAATGTTTCCAAACTGAAAGAGGGGAGATTTAGATTGGACATGAAGTTTTTTACAATACGAATGGTGAGGCACTGGCACAGGCTGTCCAGAGATGTGGTGGATATCCCATCCTTAGAGACATTCAAGGTTGTGCTGGATGGGGCTCTCTGCACTCTGATCTAGCTTAGCTGTAGGTGTTCCTATTCACTGCAAGGAAACTGAACCTTTGAGGACCCCTACCAGCTCCAACAATTTTATGGTTCAGTGGAGATCAAACTGATGCACAAGACAGGAAGAAAGGAAGCAGAAAATATTCTGTCGCATCTAACAGTGTTTTCCATACCAAGTATCACTCAACTACTTAACCCAGCACTGGCCTTTAAACACTGCTATAAGATCAGCAGATAGAGTTTATTAATCACTCTGAACAAATATAGTCAAAATAAGGTACGTTTTTACACACTTAAACACACAAGGTGAATTAAAGCCAACTTAAAAGTCTGCATCTGCCCTCTTAATTCTGATTCTTCACACATAAAGGCAGAAAACGCCTTTAGCACACAACTGACAATGTCTGAAACACAGCACGGAGCTTCCTACTTCCCCTGACTAAAGTGAAGCAACCAGAAGTTTTCCACATACAACGCTGCCAATAATTCTGAAGACTTTATAGGTGTTACTTAATTTAATAATTTCCAGTGCATATATGCAATCTATGTGCCCAAGAAACAATTAGGAAGATGAAGCAGCGAATTCAGCAAATCTAAGTAGTCCTAATTTTCTATTTTCTAAGCGGCACATTCCCTCTGTCCTTTAAA